TTCATCTTGTAATGGAGGAAAACATTCTTTTCCATAAACATTTTAAGTTTTTATATCCAATATTAATATGCTTTTGATGTTGTATTTGCTAAAAGTCATCTTAAAATATTCAAATGAACATATAAACTCATTGATAATTATTAATTTCAGATAAAGAGCGATATTAGAATATTTGACATATGTAAAGTATCATTTTTTTCTTCACTTAAAAAATAATTTCGAGTATAAAAATATTTTAATATAGAAAATTATTTTTCATACTGAATGATTTATATTTAATTGAAATATTCTTCTCGTAAAATAATGTTTAAATTAATTTGATTAATTTGATGGAAAATCACAGATATAATAAGTATCGTATTTATTGTCAATATATTCTATTTCGTCAGCAAATAATTAATATTCATCGTATATAATTCATAATTATTATAATGTAATATTTCATCGAAAAATAGAATTAATTAATATTAAAATACTATTTCTTAGTTTTGGTTTATATAGAAAAAGATGATTTTATTAAATAAACATCTATCAAAACAAAGTCGTTATAAATAAATAACTTAGTATTCTATTCAATTAGTTTTTATTTAACTTTAACATTTCATGAAATATTAGGTCGCCAATTCAGGATCGATATATAAATTTTTCAGTAACTCGTTCAAATACTTTGATGAATATATGAAAAACTGCAGGTATTCATATTATCGATTGAGATATTTCATTAGATTTTCAATGTAGATTTTAGTTTAGTTTTTTCTTGTGAATTTTATAAAAATGAAAAAAGGAAAAACTTTTTATTTAGGATGTATAAATTATTTTTAGTGGTCAATATTTAAAGTTTTATTTCATTTCATAAGCACAAATAGGTGAATTCTCCTGTCCATTCCATTGACCATAGACAATTAAATTTCCTTGAATTTGTATTTTCTTTTTAATAATTCCATTATGATATTCATTTTGATTAAGTTCAATATGTTCATTACCATTGGAAATAATAATTTTATTTGCATTCGGTACATTCATATGTAATAAAATTTCTTCATATTGTTGTAAAGAACGTCGAAGTGGTTCATTTAAAATACATTGATGATCTCGAAATGCTGGATATAATTTAGGAAAAGTAATTGGTTGATTAACATTTAAATAAGATAATTGTATACATATGGCAGCTCGATATTCTGTTTCATTACGTGTTTTTGCATAAATTGTTAATTCACACGGTCCATCTTTCATTGGAGGAGCTACAAAACAATCAATTACATTGGCTTGTAAAGGATCTCGTTGACATAAAGTATGTAATTCTCTTGAACATTCATTACCATCAATAGTTAATTTAGCATAAACATTAGCATATTCTCCTGTTTTAATAGAAACTTTAAATGGACGTGGATCACGTGCCATCATATCATTAGAAGAAATCTTCTGTCCTTTTAATACATTAATCATTGTTTGTTCAATAAGATTAGCTGAAAATGATTGTTGTTGTTCTATAACAAGATTAGTTAAATATTGTCTTTGTTCAACAAATAATTGTTTTAATTCATCATTATTATTACGTTCGCTTAAAGATGAAGGTTTCTTAATTAATTCTACAAGAGTTGTTTGTAATTGTTTTATTTCATTAATACTAACTTCATAAGTTTTTTGTTGTTTCATAATACTATCAGTTAAATATTGTTTTTGATCAGTTAAAATACGTTTAAGTGTATCATTATCATTATCTTTTGTTGTTATAGAATGGTGTTCTAATGTTTGTACTAGAGTCGTTTGTAATTGTTTAATTGAAGTTACATCAAGAGATGATACTCTAGGTGTTTCAAGATGTTTCATCATCGTTTTTTCTATTTGTTGTTCAATTATTTCATTAAATGTAAGTTGAAATTTCTTGAGTGATTGTAATTGTTCTTGTTGATCATTTAATGTTTGTGTTATAGTTTTTTTAAGAAGATCGATAGAAGACATGATAGTATTAGTATGTTGTTCATAAGTATTTTCAAGTGAATTTTTTTGTTTTTCAATTAAACGAAGTATTTCTTGTTTTTCATTTGTAGCTGTTGTTGTTGTTGCTTCTGTCATTGCTTTTATTTCTTTTTCAATTGATTGAATCAATGTATTTTGCTCCGTATAAATATTTTCACGAATTTCAGTAACCATACTATGATGTTCTGATTTGACTATTTTTGTAAGCGCTTCGTTAATTTCTGTCATATCACTTGTTACTTTCTTTTCTGAAGGTGTGGAAGGACGTTTATTATTATCCATAGAAGCTACTCCATGTCCATGGTACGTTGATAAACTATTACTACTATATGTTGCTGTAGAAGGACGTTTGGTATTACTTGAATTAATGTGTGGTAAAGTTCCTGAATTATATCTTGTCGATTGAGATCCATGACATGTACAATTAAAAATATAATAAGTATTTCCATATGTTGGACTAGTCTTTCGAGTACCTAACACGTGATAAGTTGATACACCGACTTTGAACGTATGAGTTACATCGAAATAATTTCCATTCATCATCATATTGTGATTACAGATTTCTTCATACATTTTTATATTTCTAAAATATAGATTCTAGTTGTTAATGTATTAGTCAACATCTAACAAAAGAATCTATCTATTTGACATATTCAATTTGGAAATTAGATTTTATTTTGAGGTGTGAGTATTTTATTCCAACCACATCCACATCCTGCACCTCATAGAGTTCTGTCTATTAAATTCTCAACTGAAGAAAGTTCTGCTTCACTTCTATTGAGTCGAAGAATATAAAATAAGATGACTGTAAGTTTTTGAATTTGAAAAGAAAGATTCAGTTGTGGTCATGAAATAAAGAACAGAACAAATTATGTGAGTTTTTTTATCGATTTTAATTGTAACTGTATTTTTTGGAGAGATGTTTTTTTAGTGTAAGTTTTCAAGTTGACAAAATTAAAACGAAACTAAAATAACATACAATTCGGTTATGTTTGCAAAGAATACTGTGCAAATGAGAACGCAAAGCATATCGTAAAACGAATCACAAGAAATGACGCTTTTAGGAAGAAACAGACAATAAGTACTGGCATTGTGCCATCGCGATCAGGTGTGAGTGTATTAAAATACCCACACCTACACCCTCATCATCTGTGTATTCATATAAAACTCACAAAGGAACACCTTCCTTGACTCTTTCTTCATCCTTTAAAAAAAAATCAACTGTGCGTTTTTTACCAGCGAGAATTTTATTTGATTTCAGTTTTAATCTTGAGGGTGTGGATGTGGTTGAAGTAAAGTACTCACACCCGCACCAATATGTCATACGAGTTCATATATGTTAATCAAACTGAATAAATATAAGAAACAACGATGAACGAATTAAAAATAACTGTTGAGCATATCGGAAAAGAATTTTATTATATTATATTATACTAGATGGTGAAAAGGTAAATAAAAAATATTTTAACTAGAATTCAAGAAAAAATTTGTTATCTCCTATTGAGATTGACTTGTAATCGATAAAACAAACTTACCTATAATTTGCTTTTGATAAAAATTTTCAATGAATCGACGCAATGTGGAAAATATTTATCTGAATGAAAAATTTATTGGTAAGAAGAAAATGTGTATATTTCTATTAAAGAATTTTTTTCTCCGCGAAAAATCTAAATATGCACGACGAGTGAAATATTTAACAATTTTACGTTGAATGAATCCATTTGTTTTCTTCGTTCGTTTTGCAATAACAATAACAAAATACTTTACTGATGGGTTTTTTTTATGATGGTCATAATAAGAGAAATTTCTTTCTGTTATTTCATGAAAAAGATTGAATGATTACTCATCAAAATAGAATTTAATGTGTTCGAAAAGAATCAACAACAATTATTTTGTTGTGTCAATCAAAAAAGTTCTTTTTTGCAAAGTTATATGTCATCGAAAAACATTATTTTTTTCAAATGAAGTTACCTGCCAAGAAGATATTTGTCTATATAAAAATTTAAATTTATTTATTGAAAAATTTTCGTATATAATATACTAATATGAATAAAGTATGTGTCGTTTTTCTCAAGCAAAATAATTAATTTATTAATAACAAACTATAGAAGTGTTCCAAGCAGAATTTTAGTTGATTTCAATGTTTTTATTTTTGAAAATGAAGCATGAACAGAAAAGTACATATTTACTTTCATTTTAATAAAAACATTGAAGAAAAATTGAGATAAATTAGTCTTTCTATTGCAATCATTTGTGAATATTTAAAAGTAAGAAATATTTATTTAATAGAATCTTAATATCATAACTTATTTCTATTTTCTGAATAGAAGATTTTGTACAGAATTTATATTGATGGATATTGAAACCGGTCTACATACAGACAAAAAAGTATCGGATATTTGCCAAGAATACATAAAATCAGTGTGAACAGCATAAATCGGTATTAATTGAAGGATGTAATAATAAATGAATTATTTTCATATATTTATGATGCCCATAGAATTTGTAAAAGCGTTTGTAAAAAAAATTATGAAAATCTAAAAGTATTACTACTTAGATCAATATTTCTATACAATCGATTTGAATATATTTATCAGACTATATTTTTTCAATTTTATGGTTGCTAAGTAGTGTTATTTAAGTTATGTTTTGTCAATGTAAGATTTCTTTCGTTGCTTCATTGAGAGAAAATACTAGAGAACACAATAATATAATGAAGAAAGAAAAAAGAGAAATAGACGGGCGTGCATGCAATGATGACCTAGTTATAACAGTAAAAAAGTGTAGTATAACTCAAACAACACACTCGATTATTAAAAGTAAGAAATATTCTTATTGCTAAGATATATAGAAATGTTTAATATACATAAACTATAATTAAATAAAATCATATCTCATATTTCATAAAAGATTTTATACAAAATAATGATTGATACATTTGACAGTATCTAAATAAGATAATATAATAAATATTATGAATTATTTCAATATGACTCTTTATAGTTTTGTTTAATGCCGTTATGTGGCAGTGGCGAAAATCTTCGCGTGATATATGGCAATCTTATTCTGATATTGAAAATGCAATAATAGAAGATGCGTACCATCAAAATGATAAACAAGTTGAACTTGATAATAATATAACTATCGATTTGAAGAAAAATATTCAATTTGATTCTAATAAAAAGAAAGATAATAAATCGATGGAAATTAGAAGACATAACAATGAAGAAGCTTCATCATCATCATTTATAACAGATCGAAAACGACGAAGTGAACGATTTTGTCTACCACCTAAAATGATATCAAAATCTTGAAACACTTTCATTTGGAGATATAATGCATGAAGCACTTGAAGGAATTTATATTGAAGGAAAAAAGATTGGTCAAGAACATGAAGCTCAATGGATTATTGATCATTATGTACCAATTACAAAGCAATTGAATGAAAAGATTTTTCAAGCATGTGTTCGTCTATATACAGCAGAAAGTTTTGTATATCGTCTTATTAATACGGCTTTACGTTATAATGATCTAACTAAAGTGGATACACTTGGTGCATTTTGTTATTTATTATTTCAATTTAATTTTGCACAAGAATTTAATGATTTAAAATTCTTAGGTCGTGTTTATCGTGGTGCCAATCTGACGTCATCGATTGTAACTGAATAATTTTTTGATTCAACAGTATTATTTATTATTGATATTGATGAAGATAGTGCTTATTCTTCGGCAAGATCTATTGCCAATTTATCGATGTATCCACATGAAGATGAAGTATTATTAAGATCAGGAACACATTTTATTATCAATAAAGTTCATCATCAATAAATAATACAAAAACATTAATACATTTGACAATTGAATAAAATCAAATTTTTATTTTTAATTATTAAAAATAAATAAATAAATATCAGAATAGAATCACATTGATTCTTAAAATGTTAAAATTCTGGATTACATAAATAGAATTTTGTTTTTTCTTTAATCAGTTTCTATCACCACCATATGAAAGTTGTTTTACAATGACATATATACTTTATCATATTATTCTTCAATAAGTTATTGTATTGAACGATCGTTTTAATTCGATTAAAATCATATTTTGAAGTATCTGTCACACGTATTGAATGAAGATGACGAGTATTTTCATTCTCTTGGGATAATAAAAATGTTAGCCACGATCTTATGTTTGAATTCATAGAAAAAGAAAGATCTTCTATTCGAGGACAAAGATGAATAAGAAATTCAATGTGTTCCAATTGACAACGATTATAAATGAAAATATTTCTCACATGATTTATTTTTGATACTATTTGAAATTTTTCGCTTTGTTGATTTAACATGGCATCTTTGTCTGATATCCCACCAACTCGAAGTGTCAATGTATGAACATTAGATGCAATAGTTAATAGTTTATAAATTAAAGTTAATGATTGATAAAAACGAACAAAATGTAATGTCATCAATTGTTTTACAGGAAGAATATGATTTAGAGTTGGTAATAAAGATACTTTGTTCTTCTCCTCATTATCACCACAGGCAAATGTGAGTTTAGTAACATTAGGAAAATAAGTTCGACAATTCATCAATGCATTTTCACATTGAATATCTAGATGGATAACAGAAGTCATCGAATCAATTTCAGTAGTATTTTCGTTTCCGAGTAAAAAATATTTCTTTCTAAAAAAACTTAAAAAATTTGATAAAATATATAAATTATTTGTTACCGATATGGATTAATTGAATATAAATTAATATATGAATCAAACATAATTGAATATGAACTACAAACAAAAAACCATTGTTTTTCCTGCCAAAACGGAGATTGAAATTGTTGAATGATATTTTCTCTCATCAATGGATCATTTGTTTTAAAACTGATTTGAAGAGCAAAAATTCTCAAATGTTGAATCGATGTTGAAATTAATTTTTCCCATCGAAATCCATTTATATATTCTCCAGCACATGCTCGTGAAATATTTAATACTTGAAGTCGTGTAAAATAGTTTTGAATCAATAATTCAAAACAATTCATAGATATCATTATTTTCTTAATTGATAAATGTGTTAAATTATTTGATAGAATTGAATTCCTATTATTTATTTGGTTAACAAATTTTCCAGATAATCGATCAATGGATAAACGATGTAATTGTGGTAGATATGATAAAAAAGGTATCAAGTTTTCAAGATAAATATTATCTTCGATGATGAAATGTTCAATAGGACTAGAGTTTTTCGAACAAAATGGTAATATTTCATCATGAGTAGATGTTATTAATTTCATTTTACAATATTTTAAATTTGGTATTCGAAAAATATTCAGAAAATAATGATTAGCAGTTTTCATACTTTCAATACATGAAATTGTTAATGAAGAAAGTTTTGGTAAAGAAATTAAATCTTGAAAAATATTTTTCAATTGTCTTTTATTAATATTATTTAAATAAAGAATTTCTAATTGAATAAAATTTGATAAAGATTTGCAGATTGAATCAATTATAAATGGATTTGTTAGATGTAAAGATTTCATTTGATATTGATTTGATATTAGAATTTGTTTATGATAATATTCAAATGTTGATTTTGACATTGATGAATAACTTACTTCGACATGTTGTTTGGAATTTCGAAGAAGATTTTCAAATCTTATATTCAAATTTGAAAAAGCAATATATATATGATGAAAATTGAGGTATTCGAAGATTTTGTACATGATTTCATTAGCAAGATATTCAAAAGATATTCGTTGAGATGAAATAAAATCGTCGAACTTATCCAAGTCATTTTGTTTTACTAAAAGAAACTCAATATATTAAAAGGCAACATAATAGATCTGATTAGTACCTTGTAATTTCTGTTTCTTGTGATCGCTATCCTTTAAATTGTCTTCTCGTTGTCGTTTTATTTCTTTCATAATTGTAATGAAAATAAAATTTGTTTTTTTGCTATCTACATCTCAACACTGAGTAAAATATAATATGATAAGAATCATTGTATCGTCGAGTGCTCAGGCAATGTGACAGAGACCAGAGAATAGAAAGAACAAATATTATATTTTTTATTACATCAATGCAATTTTTTTTTCTTTTTTCATTTTGTTATTTTTATTAACAGTCGACGACTTCTATGTTCCAAACTTATTATTTTTGAGAAAAAAAATATTTTATTTTTTCATCAAACAATCGATTAACTTTCTTCATGAAGTTATGAGTGAAATAAAACTAAGACTCAGATGGTAGTTTAGTGACATTTATTTCTTGTTTATTTTATAAATATATAGAAATTATAAATATTACTGTTACAGATAAGATCAATTGCATCAGGTTTATTTAAAAATTCTATTCAAAGTTATTGATCAGAAGTTTTATCATTTGTATTCATATCAGGATCTTCTTTCATAAACATTGTTCCAACAAAACATATCAAAAGACCAAATAAACAAATTGTTATAACAAGCTTTTCATTGTAAGACAATTTATGACTGTAACCAAGTCGACGATCAAAATGCGCATTATCTTCTATTGAAAATTTCATATCTTTGCATTTTTCATGAATAAAAGTGGCGATCTTCGATAGAGACTGTTCTTTATAGTTAACGTGTTGACCAAGAAAATGTAGAACATCATTTGTAAAACCAAGCTCTTGTAATGCCAGAATAGCTTCAGCATGACGCTTTGTATTTCCTGTACCACCTTTGCCATAGGATATAAGTACATTAGCTGCTTTGAAGAACTCTGTAGAATTGCGTGCATTAATACTACGTGGACATCCATAAGTTGAGATAATCCCAAGAAGTGTCTCACGACCAAAAATTCGCTCAGTATTAGCAATTAGATTAAGAAAATAAGCCGGATTGTAATCTTCCAAACCAGTATTACCACCTCCTGTTATTCGCATCAAAATATGTGTTTCATTCTTTGCCAACATCGTCCAATGACTATTGGTCACTGCATATTGTGGAGTAATACCATATTTAGCTATAATTTTCTTCAAATGACTATTATTATGCATTAGTGCATTGATAGAAGTACCAGTAGCAACAGTTAGACGATGTCTAGATACAGGAGAGCAGATGTTCAGTTTATTTTCCATTTTATTCAAAATATTTCTAGTAAATCTGCTTGTTCTTACTTGATCAAATTGAAATTTAGCTTTGTATCCTGGACTTAAATGCATATGTGAAGCATAAATAAACTGATCATTATCGGTAATAACACCAGCTAGTCGAGCTTTTCCATTCGTTAGTTCATCTTCAGCAAAAAGAATATGACTGATATATTGTTCAAGACTTATTCCACCATGATCTGTCAGAATTTTTTGTTTTCTACATTGAGCTTCCATTAATAGACTACCATCGTTATGATAGCGAGTAGCTTGTATAATATTAGCATTTTGAGCACCAAAGAAAAATTCTTTTTCATGATCTGATAGTTGCTCTGATTTAATACCAACAGTTTTTTCAATTAGTTTGTTATTAGCACTAGTTTCTTCACTTCCAATATGAGTTAAATCAACATGAATGGAAATTGATTGTGAAGGATCTCTATCAGCATTACTACTAAGTGGAATTTTACTGAGACGTTCAATTAAATGTAAAACATCTTGAGAAAATGCTGATTCTAAACGATTTAGATCATGTTCAGTCATTAAACCCAATCGATGACGTATCATCTGATAAAACCAATTAAATTCGTTTCCTAAATAGATACGTAGTTTTCCTGGAGTGAGACTAGAAAATTTCAAGTCAATTTTTCGAAAATCAGGATGTAAACTATCTTCGATCGAACAACCTTTAATATTGCGAATCAAAAATGGTAATAATAATACATGTCCTGTTAATTCAGATTCAGCATTTAATGCTGTTCCATGTCGTACATGAAGTTGTAAAGCAGAATGAGCAAGATTACTTTCTTTAAAAGGACCAGATATGTGAATGATCTTCGATAATTTTATTTTATTCATTAAACTAGCAATAACAGCTGTATCCAACGCTGCTGGACCACCAACAGTAAGCAATGCAGTCTGTGACTTATTCTTATGATATTCATCAACATGTTGTGGAAAGTTTGCAATTGATGAGAAAGTGATCGTACGTGAACGCTGTTCGTTAGTGGATAGAGATGGAGGTGTCAGTAATAATTCAGTGAGAAACTTTTCATTTGTATTATTGACTAGAATTTTTGCGGCTGCTTTCAATGTGTTCTGATCACTAGTAAAGAATCCTTTGATATTGTTACCTTTCTTCAATGCATTTTCGTGAAATACTATCGCTTCTGCTAAACTGTCGAATGATTTATGGCCAACGAATTTTTGTAGTTCTACATGTTTCGGTAATGTAATCGTTCTAATACCAAAATATCCAGATAAGATTCTATTATGAATTCCATAACGTAGATATTGTCTTGGATTCACCAGTTTAGTATAATTATTTCGTGTGAATTGTCTCAGCATGCAATTTGATCTAATAAGTTAAATTCTAAAACAAAAAGTATCTCTTAAAACAGCTTCCTCTCAAGCTCAATGAATTCCCATATCAGAGGAGAAATAGTATTGAGGAATAATAAACGTCAGAATATGACTACGTTGTTTTGACACCTAATAATTCAGAATAAAAGTAAAAGTATTTGATAAGGTTCACAATATCTTAAGCTCAACTCTAATCTTCACATATAATATGTTATTACTATTCAAAACAAAATATACTCTCTTACTTCCTTGTAATACTAATAGTGCAAAGAATCTTATATAATTTTTATCTGATATCAAAGATTACAACGTGTTTGAATCATCTTTATATTGTTTTCCAATTTTATTACTTATGTTAT